CCATTATTTTCTCATTTCTTCCCTTCGTTTCAATATTTAGAGCATAGTCCTTTCTTCTGTACCAGCTGCTAGTTTTCTGTTTTCTCATTTCTTCTCCTTTTTCTATTGTTGGTGGTGGCTGTTAGTGTTAAGGTTGTTGTATATACTTTATTCATTGCAGGGGAGATTGCCCGGACACTACAGAAAAAACTGAAAATAGAAGCTGCAGCTATAAGATTCCAGAAGAATTACCGTCGGTACATCGCCAGGAAATCTTTTGTCAGTATCAGATCATCTGCAATCGTGTTGCAGACTGGTTTAAGGGCCATGATTGCACGTAAGGAATTCAGGTTAAGAAGGCAAACAAACGCCGCCATTGTGATTCAGGTATATCACATTTTCCTTATAGCTGAGAGGAGCTATGTAACAGAAATTGACAAAGTATGGTGACTGTTCTCTTTGATTCATAAAAGTTCCTTATCTCTTTCGTTATCAGGCTCATTGGCGTGGTCACCAAGCACACTCATATTACACAACACTTCAGAAGGCGGCAATAGTCACTCAATGTGCCTGGAGATGCAGACTTGCTAGAAGAGAGCTTAGAATGCTGAAAATGGTTGGATTCCTTGCTTTATAACTTTTCATTGTGCATAAATTTCCTTGTTCAGCTGTTTACTCCCATGTTTATATTAATTTAGGCTGCAAGAGAAACCGGGGCTCTTAAAGTTGCCAAGGATAAATTGGAGAAGCGGGTGGAAGAGCTCACCTGGCGTTTGCAACTGGAGAAGCGCTTAAGGGTAACTTAACATGTCAAATTTTCATTTGGAAAAGTATTTAAGTTAGACTAATTTGCAGATTATGGTATGCAAAGTTAGCTGCTAAAATTATATTATTTTGTTATCCTTTTACTGATAAACAGACTGATCTTGAGGAGGCAAAGGTGCAAGAAGTGGCAAAGCTACAAGAGGCTTTGCATACCATGCGTTCTCAATTGAAAGAAGCTAACGCAATGGTCGTAAAGGAACAAGAGGCAGCTCGGATAGCAATTGAAGAAGCAAGTTCAATTAATAAGGAACCTGTTGTTGTTGAAGATACAGAGAAGATCGATTCTTTGAGCAACGAAATTGAGAAGCTAAAAGTAAACAAGTGGCATATCTATATCCATATATATATATATATATATATATATATTGTAGATGTAGTCGCGTCTGCACCACAAATGCATATGCGTAATAAGTAGAATTATCTTTGTCTCAGGATATAAGAAAGTAGATGCTTTATGTTGTAAGATTCCAGACTTGATTGTTCATGCCACTGATCTATAATCTGGACATGGTCCTAACTATGCAGGAACTGTTGGCATCAGAAACAGAGAAGGCAGATGAAGCAAAACAGGCTCAGCGTAGTGCCTTGGTCCACAATGAGGAATTAAGTAAGAAACTTGAAGAAGCTGGAAGACAAATAGATGAGCTTCAAGATTCTGTTCAGAGGTTCTCATTTGCAAAATTGAAATCTATCATGCATTTGTTTCTCCTTATTGCATCAGCTATATCTATATCTTTCGTTTGTACTCTTTCTGGGTGACAATTTTTTCACTCTTTTTTAAGCATGAAATTTATAGTAAAGAAGCTTTTATTTTCCCAGTTCTTACACTTAGAGGTTGATTGATATCAGACACTGCACTTAGTGCTCATTTTTTATATTCTCTGAAATAAGAAGACTAACAAAAGGTTTCCTCTTCTTTTGGATAGATTCCAAGAAAAGGTCTCTAACCTGGAGTCAGAGAATAAGGTATTCAGACAACAAAGTCTTGCAGTCTCACCGACTAGTAGAGCTTTGGCCCTAAGACCAAAAACTACCATAATCCAGGTACCTGTACACACCGGCTATGCCTTTCCATTGAATTTTATAACCGTTCGCATGACCTCTTTGGCATTTCCTTGGAATTGCAGAGAACTCCCGAGAAGGATACTTACTCCAATGGAGTAGCAAAACAAGTTCAGGTATGTTGATAAACAAAATAAGCGCCTTCTTCTGATGGCCGTTTACAGTGAGGGAGATTTAATACTTGATGGTTTATTTCAGGAACCTGAAACTGACGATAGGCCACAGAAATCGCTTAATCAGAAACAGCAGGTAGCTATCACTTTGAATTAAGAGAAAGCCTTGTCACAGATTTCATTTCATTTGCGGGGACAAGATTCTGTTTGTATAATCATTATATGCGGCTGTTTCCATCTTGCAGGAAAATCAAGAGCTACTACTAGCGTCTATTTCGGAAGATATAGGATTTTCTGAAGGCAAGCCTGTTGCTGCCTGTCTGATCTACAAGTGTCTGATCCACTGGAGATCTTTTGAAGTAGAAAGAACCACTATATTTAACCGTATAATCGATACAATAGCATCCGCCGTTGAGGTAGTTTTAATATTCTTTCGTACCAATGCAAATGTTCTTTCCTGCTTCAATGGATGTTGTTATGCTGAACATTACATCTCTGCAGAGGCAGACAAACGGCGATGTACTATGCTATTGGTTATCCAATTGCGCGACACTATTGATGTTGCTTCAACGCACTTTGAAAGCCGGTGGGACAGGAAACTTAACTCCCCAGAGACGTCGGGCAATGTCTACAACTTTGTTTGGACGGGTATCTCAGATGGTACAAAGTGTTTATACGCGTCTCTAAGATATGACTAATTCATTAATCTCACTTTTCCTCCTGAACTATGATAGAGTCTTCGAGGTTCTCCACAAAGTGCTGGATTCCCATTTATGAACGGAAGGGCGATTGGTGGTGGGATGGACGAACTACGTCAAGTGGAAGCGAAATATCCTACTTTGTATTTTAAGCAGCAACTCACTGCTTTCCTAGAAAAGATATATGGAATGATCCGAGACAATATGAAGAAAGAGATTTCTCCTATGCTTTCTTCATGCATTCAGGTAGACATTCTCATTAGTTACTTTTGCTCTCACTAATTATAATCTGTTTATATTCCCTAAGTCTGGTTTTGTTTTGCTGTTTGAATGGAAGAAGGCACGAGCGACGCCACGTTCGGGTTTAATAAAGGGACGTTCACAAAATAATGTTGTTGTTCAAAAAGCGCTAATTGCTCACTGGCAAAGCATTGTCACATGCCTAAACGGCCACTTGAGGACTATGAGAGCCAATTACGTGAGTAAACTAAAATTCTCAGCCAAAGGTGAAATGTGTTTTGTTTTCAGCTTTCGTCGTCTCTTTCCTCACAAAGTTTGAACCTTCTCCAAAACTGCAGGTGCCTTCGTTGCTGATTTCTAAAGTGTATGGGCAGATATTTTCATTTATCAATGTTCAGCTGTTTAACAGGTAAATGTGCTATAACTGCAACTGTCATTTCGCTATATAGAACATACCCACTTATGTTTTTCCCTTCTTTTTTTGTTCGTATAGCCTTATGTTGAGGCGTGAATGCTGCTCCTTTAGCTTTGGAGAGTATGTAAAAACAGGGCTTGCAGAGCTGGAACAGTGGTGCCAAAATGCAACCGAGGAGGTAATAGAGATGACTCAAATCCTCTCTGGATTTATCTTAACAGTTTGCTTATTAAAAGATGCTTTTGGTTGTGTTCTAGTTTGCTGGTTCGGCATGGGACGAATTAAAGCAGATCAGACAAGCGGTTGGCTTCTTGGTTATACATCAGAAGCCGAAGAAGAGCTTAAACGAGATAACTACCGAACTTTGTCCCGTAAGTTAAAAATCGTCTTTTGAAACTAAGTTTCCACATCTGTTCATCTCATGTAAATCTAACGAAACTTCTTGTTGTTTCCTCTGCAGGATCTTGGCATACAGCAACTATACAGGATCTGTACTATGTATTGTGACGACAAATACGGCACACATAGCGTATCTTCAGAGGCAAGTGAATAGTTTGTGCTCGAGCGAGCAAACCGTTAACATTTAGTCTTGTTTTAAGCAAATCCAAAGTGTACTGAAACTGATTTCTTGAAATTCGGCTGACACAAAAATGGGGCCTATTGCAGGTGTTGACAAGCATGCGGATTGCGGCTACAGAGCCAAACAGCGTGATCAGTTCGTTTTTACTAGACGACGATTCAAGGTAAAGAAAACAAAACAGAACAGTAAGGATTCACTGTAACAAAATTTGACCTTTTTGATAAAAGTGGGTCATGGTGATTCTTTGTTTCTGCAGCATCCCATTCTCGCTTGACGATGTCTGGAAATCGATGAAAAACATAGAGGTAGCAGAGATCGATCCTCCTCCGTTGATTCGCCAAAACACCAGCTTCATGTTCTTGTTGGAAAGGTCAGATTGAAGTGAAGTATAGTCGCTCGGTCTCTAGGACATTCTCAGATTAGGAGATCAGTATTGTGCTTTGTCAAAATCGCCAGTGGTTTACTGGTGATATTTTACTTTTTGAATATTAGGGTAAAAACTTGAGAAAAAAAAAGACAAAAAAGAACTACCATTGTCCATTGCAGTTTGCAACTATCATTGTGAAATGAAATATTATCAGGGCCATGTTTTTGCAGGCCAATTTGCTTAGAATGAAATTTCATTCCATTTGTTTCTCTTTTCTTTTTAATATAACTTTTTGTGTGTATTGTTGGAACGAATGAGATTCGTCTTGAATCTTTGTTGGAACCATTGGAGTATTGCAATTCTTTCCCTCGAGGCGAATCTCATAAAGTTTCTTGAAACGGTTATCAGTGGGGTTATCAGTGGAAGACTGACCAGTGGACTGAGTTGAAGTTGAATCCTGGTCAAGGAAACTGGTTTTCTTTGAGTTTCGAACATGTTCTGATCTTGGATACACCTTCAAACTAAGTGATGCAGTCACTCGATTCAGTTGGAAGTCTCCATGAGATGGAAGTGGTAATGTATGGTGGAGTTGAATGAGCCGCGGAGCTAGTAGATGAATCTTTCTTTTCCATGTGACTCGGTTAACACTTAGCTTACTGGCTAAAACAAGATGAACAGTCATCAACGATCTATCTATCATTCATCCATTGATTCATGCACTTTAAACATCTGGTTTGAGCCTGGTGACAGGAACACGCAGGAGAAAAACGACAAGAAAAGCCACTAGCGTGATGCAGATAGGAATGCCTAGAAACATGAGCGCAGCTGCCATCTTGGAAAGGCGGATGATTTGGTGACTCCGTGTGGCTTGGTGATTCATGACATAATAACTCGGCATCTCAGTTTCTTTGAAGCAGGACTGTACCTATTAGAGAAAGGAGATGATTAGAAAACAAGGAACTACATATATTACAGAAGAGGCGGATCCAGAGCAGAATATTCACCTCTTGGTTTGGTCTGTCTTTAAAATGCTGTACAGAATCAGCTTCAAGGGAATCACAGCCGTGTGCATCGAGAAACTGGAGACTCATGGGCAGTTTTTCCACTGATTTGAGTTTCTTGCAGTTATTGAGGCAAAGAGTTACCAATGAGGTAAGGTCTCTGATGCTTGATGGCAATGTCTCAAAATCATGGCTGCTGAGATCTAAATATGTCAACTTGGTGAAATGACTAAGCTGATCTGACAATGACTCAACACTATTGCAGTTTTCAAGGCAAAGCTCAAGCAAGCAGTATCTTCTCCGATCTTGACTTGTGTCAGATACTTTCACCAATGATCTGAGGTTCCTACAGTTGGTAAGTGTCAATGTCTGCACCTGAGTTAGCTTTGGCAACTCCCTGAGTTTGAAGCAGTTTCGAAGCCAGAGAGTTTTCAACCTGGAGAGGCTATTCATGGCCTCTGGCAAGTTCTCAAAATCATTTCCACTGAGGTCCAGCTTCTCTAGGAACTCCAAATCACAAATCCCACCAATCCCAGATGGGATTCTCCGGATGTTTAAGTTGACTAGTTTTATCTCTTTCAGGTCAGGAAAATCTGGAAACCTGTCAAAGGAGAAAGATTCACCGTTTTCTTTGTAGCTGAACCTCATGATACTAAGGGAATTGAATCTGTTGCACTCTGAGATGGGCCAAGGAGCTTGCTGCAGACTCATCGTCGATGTAATTGTGATATGTTGCTCTGAACTAAAAGAGACGTATTCAGCATATCCTCTAAACTTTGAGCAAAACTCAAAACTTATATCTCCCCCAATCGATATGTTTATAAGTGCATCCATTTTTACTTTTGCGTCAGGGAACTCCAGTCCAATATGTTGCTGCCTCGTAGATCTCCATATGAAAAACCTCAAGGCACTTCTAAGCCCTCCACAGTAGGATAACTTGAGCTTCTTCAGGGAAGACCTTTTCCCAATACACTCTGGAATGCCTTCCAGTCTCGTGCAGTGTTCAAGAACCAATTCCTCAAGACTCGTGATACTTGAAAGATCTGGAAGTTGCTTGAGATACTTCGATCCCGTCACATCTAGTCTCTTCAAACTCCTCAGCATCTAAGCAAGATACAACATACAAAAGGAAATAGTTAGATACAACATCGCGTCCAATACAGAATTTTGAGAATCATAGGAAAGATTACCGGTGTTCCAGTCCAGAGCGTTTCTAAATTACTGTGACGCAGATTGATTTCAACAAGAAAGCATGGATCAGTACCGGAAGGGAGGGTTCCCAGTGGAAATGCATCCCAATGGAATAGCCGTAGGCTACGAGGCAGGAAATGTTGGTCTGGAATGAGTTGTAGCTCTGACTCTCTGTAGTCTACATGCTTGTAGACCTTGAGAAACTTGAGATTATGCATACGGCCAACGACACTGGCCTTAATGGACCATGCACAGGTCATCTCACACGTGTGTAGGGACATGCATTCAGTTTGTTCTGCTCCCTGATGATTAGGAAACACATAGCTAGGTTAGGTGCAGAAGAACAAAAAGATCAACAGATGAAAGAATTGTCTAGATGCTTACTTACATCTCTCAAAGCAAGCGCATACCGGATTTGTTCTGGATCCCTGAGGAATTTTCGAGCCAAAGACCTGTCGTCACGGATGATGTCTCTTCCCATTTGTTCTACCAGCTTATGCATGATTACAGATCCGTTAGTTGATATTCTGATGAGAGATTTCTCTGCCAGAACTCTTATCCACAGGCTGCTCTGAGGTATAGGGCCATGAAGAAGGGAAGTGATACGCTGGAGAGTGTCTCCATTGAAGAGACAGGCAACATGAAGGAACACATTCTGGTGTGGTTTTGGTAACCCCTCGTAGCTAATTTTCAAGATCTCCATTATGTTCTCGTCAAGACTGCTCTCAAGTGCACCTATTGCATCTTCCCACTCCTCAGGAGCCGCCGTCCTTCCACGGAGAAAGAAAGCATAGGCTTGAATAGCTGAAGGAAGCCCGTGTGCAAGCTTGGAAGCTCGGACTAAGATCTGTTCAAAACCATGAGAAGTAGGAAGTCCTCTTCCTTCAAAAGCAATCTGTTTAAACATGTGAAGGGCATCCTTATCATCCATGCAATTCACCTCGTAAACAGTCTCTACTCCACAGGTGTTGAGCAAGCCCATGTCTCGAGTGGTTATGATGATTCGGCTCCCAGGACCAAACCAGTTTCTCTCTTTTGCCAAGGCATGCACTTGCGCCACTTTATCCACACCATCAAGCACAAGAAAAACCTTTTGATGCCCAAGTCTCTTCTTTATCTCTTGGCGTCCAGCTTCCACGCTCCATAACCTGATATCATCACAGAGGATATTGCAGAGCATTTCCTTTTGCAAGTGCTTCAGATCATGGTCATGGTCTTTACTAACACTACTCTTAATGTTTTCAGTGAAACAACGAGCTGGGAATTTAGGTGAGAGCTGGTCATATAGACACTTGGCAATGGAGGTTTTCCCAATCCCTCCCATCCCCCAGATTCCAACCATAAGAACCTCACTAGATTCCATATCCAAGAGTTGATTAAGACCTTCCATGTGAGCTTTCATCCCAACAATATTCCCGGAGTCTATTTTATGCATCAGTGTCACACGTCTTGAAATATCTCTCGCAATTTCTCCAACCATTACAGCCTCATCCACGCTACAGTTTCAAATTTTCCAAATGCTTAAAAGGTTGCTTAAAGTGAGATTTCTTTTTAGTATCTGGTAAAAAGAGCTTACCAGTGTCTTGAATCCACGCCTGAAAGATTGGCGATTAGCTTAAGAGCGTCTCTCCACCTGTGAACCTTATCCGCCATTTTTGCAACTTGGTGCTTTTCTAAAGAGAAACTTCCTAGCTGATGCCTCACGGCGGAAGGATCCACTCCATAAAAGACCGGAAAGACTTCAAGTGTTCCTTCCTTCATAAACTCCATTATCAGTTCAAGTTCCATTAAGCACCACCTTGAAGTAGCGTAGTTCTCGGAGAGAACCACGACGGCGAAACTGGAACCCCTTAGTGCTCTTCGGAGTTCGTCGGAAATGTGATCGCCTATCTCAAGCCTTTGGTCGTCTTTGAAGGTAACAATTCCTCTGCTTTCAAGTGCTGCGTATAAATGGCTGACGATGGTTTTGCGTGTGTCTGCTCCTCGGAAGCTGAGGAAGACGTCATACTTGGATACACGAGCTGCAGAGGAGGCAGACGCCATTGTTGAATACCAAGCTCGTCCAACGATTTTCTTCTTTGGTGTTTTATGTGTTATGGACAAAAACTAAATAATATTCCATTTTCATTTTATGTTAGTTTGTTGACTGACTTTGAGCAGAGTCACAAGTCAACGTTAAATGACCTGTGAGAGTGTGAGGCTGTGGCTTGTCCACATTGTTTATTTTCTCCAACTGCTCTCATTTTAGGATTCATTCACACACACGAAAGAAGAAGAACACTTTGTAATCTGTTGACTTTGCTGCTCAGACAAAAGTCAATGTCTTCTTCTTATTCTTTTTTGTTGGCTGGAAGAGATTTGGATGTGTTCTTGAGTTTCAGCGGTAAGGTGTCTCTTGACATGGATTTCGGTTATGATTTGTCTCGAAACGGCATCAAATCTTTTAAATCGGAAAGCTGGAAGGAGAAGAGTTTCAAGCCAATTCATCGACGGACACTCGAAGCTTTGACAGAGTCCAAAGTTGCAGTCGTCATGACCTCTGATGAAGAAGCTTCTTCAGTTGGGTTCCTTGAAGAGCTCATAGTGATACTCGAGTTTCAGGAGAAACGTTCACTCACTGTCATACCAATCTTCCTCACAAAACACCCTTTGGATATGACTGAAATCTCTCAGCTATTTCCAGAGAGAGCCCAAATTTGGAGGACAGCAGTTGCCAAATTGGACAACATAGCTGCACATTATTCACTTTCCAGGAATCTTGCTGTGATGCACGGAACATATCGGATCAAGCAAATTGCTGACGACATCAGGCTTATGTTTCTCTCTTCTGCATCAAGCGATTTCAAAGGTCTTGCAGGAATGGGTCGTCACTTGAAGGCGTTTCACGAGTTGCTGGCTTTAGAATCTGACAAAGAAGTTCGTACCATTGGCATCTGGGGTATTGCAGGTGTGGGGAAGACAACACTTGCAAGGTACACATATGCAGAGATCTCTGTAAAATTTCAGACACATGTGTTCCTAGAACACGTCGAAAACGTGAAAGAAAAGCTTCTTCCACCGTCAGAAAACTTTGAAGAGGAAGACAATCTAACAAAGTTAGATCATCATGAGAGGAATGAAATTAGTGAAGCAAGGAATAAACACAGGAAAGTTCTCCTTATAGCTGATGGTGTGGATAGCATTGACCAAGGGAAGTGGATCGTTGAGTATGCCAAGTGGTTTGCTCCAGGAAGCAGAGTCATTCTAATTACTCAGGACAGGAGTGTTCTTGAGGACTCTGGAGTGAACCATGTGTATGAAGTTGGGTCTCTAAGATATGACGAAGCTCTTCAACTTTTCTCACGCTTTGCTTTCAAGCAGCTGTATCCTCCTCCTGATTTCGAACGCCTCTCGGTACGTGCTGTCCAGCTCGCAGGGTTTCTCCCTGTGGCCATTAGACTGTTTGGATCGTTTTTAACTGGTAGAGGTAAAGAGGAATGGGAAGCTACACTGCTTAAACTCAATGCAAAGCAAGGTAAAGAGATAATGGAAGTGTGGAAGCTTATGGAAGAAGCAGAAGATAAAGGTATTGTGGAAGCATCGGAAAGATAAACAGAACAATATATTAGACGTAAGAGGAGTCAGGAGAGTCGCCTGCAACATTTCCATTTCATCTTTCTTTGTTTCCATGACGATAATCTGAGTTGGGAAGCTTATACGTTACTGTCCAGAAAACTCTACTTGTTCTTATACATATGGTTCTTGAAACTATAATGCTTCTATTTTTACTGTTATACACTATAGCCATATGAGTAGTAATTTTCAGCACAGGTTTAATGTAAAATCGGAACACAGAGTGCTAGACACTTTTGATGAGACAAGGCAAGACAAAAAAAAAGTAGTTGTCATTACAGTCCACAGTTTAACAACGGAGTTACAACACTGCAAAACTAGAGCTCTTTTTAGCCATGTAATTGCTTCTTATCCTTTTCTTTTGAAAACTGACGAATGGCAAAGATGGCTCACAAAACGTTTGCGGATGTCAATTCATCTGAAACTGATAAAAACATCGAACTTCATCATCACACGATCGAGACTCATAATTCCTTCTATAAGACTTTGCTGAGAGATCGATGGAGAAAATTGACATGGCTTATAAGGTCAATACTTCCTTGTTTCCATTCTTTCACCAGAACTAATGATATTAAATCCAAATTATCAAAAATAAGAAAATTAGCCGGCGCCAAGTTTACAAACATTGCAGCAACGTTTACTCAATATTAAAATCCATGGAAAATGTGTTAAACTAAAAGAAAAAGACTGGAGGAGATTCCATTTCTAATAATTCTGCACTTCATCAATTATATTTGATATATTTGATGTGTCACGACCTGGTCACTAAGGTGTAAACGTTGTTTCTGTTATATTTGATATTTTTCAATTAAAAACAAAAAGACTTGTAAGTATATGAAATGTTAGGATAAAATAGGGTGAATGCATGTATATGTACAAAATCCCATATATATTGTATGAAATGGTCAAGACGTGAACTCACAATTTAAAAATGACTTTTTGTTTTGTTTTTCGACTGCAATGACTTATTTTAATGGCTTAAATTCATAATTCCCACGATCACATACAGGTGTGCAAGAGTATACGTTGACTTTACAAATTTAAGCTGAGTTTTTTCCTTAAGTAAAGAGCTGAGCAGAGCGAGAGGGATCAAGTATACAACGACCTGATCACAAAGATGTATAACTATTGTTTGCGTTAAATTTAATATTTCAAGTCAGCATTTTTTGGATTTATAGTTTCTGTTTAAAAAGCTGGCAATATCATCATTTGTTGAGGATATAGTAAACTACAGAAAACGTAAATACTGTAAAAAGCATGTGATATGACTCATATGAGAGGATAAAATAACACAAAATAATTTCTAAATCATTTGTATGAAATGGTACCGACGTGAACTCACAAGAACAATATATTTAAAGATGATATATCAATATATTTTGGTTAATGACTCAATTAAGACCAGAATATCCATCCATCCAGGGTGTGCAAGAGAACACGTTGACTTTGAAGATTTAAAGCTCCTTAAATAAAAGTTGTCTTAATCTTTCTCTCACATGTTTTTGTTCTGATCAGAGCGAGAGGAGGGATCAAGATTTTGAAATCAAAATGTCTTCGTCACCTTCAACTGATAGAGTCTTCAAGTACGATGTGTTCCTCAGCTTCCGTGGTGCAGACACTCGTAAAACCGTCGCTAGCCATTTGTATGAAGCACTTGTCAAAAGAGGAATCCGTACCTTCCGAGACGATCGGAGGATTGAGAAGGGAGAATCCATTCGCGAAAAACTCCGAGGATCCATCGAGAGTTCAAGGTTTGCCATTGTTATTATCTCAAAGACCTACGCTACTACAAAGTGGTGCTTGGAGGAGCTTCAACTGATAATGGATCTTGTATCCAAGAGAGAGATGGGTCTCATTCCGGTTTTCTACGACGTCATTCCATCTGACGTTAGAAATCTCCGACACAAATTCTCTTTAACAGAAGGCGAAATTTCAGAAAAGGCGCCGGAGGATATTCTCATATGGAAAAAAGCCCTTATGCTTATTGGAGACCGACAAGGCATCGAGTCTAGTCAATGGTAAGCTTCTTTTTTTTCTCCCTTTTATACTATTAGATACTTAGATGTGAATGTTATTAGATGTGATGAGAGTTTAGGATTGGAAGAAGTATTATTGACTCTATGAGAATATGAATAGGTTACATAGGTTTATATACAAAAGAGGTTTACTAAACTAAATATATACAAGTCTGTAAACATCTTTAGATATTAAACATTAAAACATACTTACAATATATGACAATAATCTTTAGGATCTTCTACATCCTCTAATAAATGTTAGTACCAAACGTTTGACATTATTGGAAACTGTGACCTTGTTGCGAAACCAAATGCTTTCTTTTGCTTTAGACCTAGTTGAAATCAGAAAATGACATTTATTTTGTAACAAGAAAAACTTCTAAAATGACACTTATTATGAAACAAAAATATTTATAATTGCTTATTACATGTTTGGAATGGAGGGAGTAACTTTAAGATGTGCATCTGTCCACGAGTCTATAAAATGGTCACCTAACAAAAAACATTTTGTTGTTCATTGATCTTGTCAGTAAGAATGACGCCATGATGGTTGGAGAGATTGCTGGACGTATTTCAAGCAGGTTGAATCCTATGTTCCCGATGGATGTGGAGGATATGGACGGGATGGAAGATTACGTGGAACGTTTTAAGCCTCTGTTGGACTTGGATTCCGAGAGTAATGAGGTTCGGATGATAGGAATCTGGGGGATGGGAGGCATTGGCAAAACCTCCATAGCCAAGTATCTTTATGAACGTCATAAACATCTCTTCTCGACTCACCATTTTTTCATTGAAGTTGTTTCTTCGGAACGAAATGGTATCGTGGAGTTACAGGAACAGCTTCTTTCCAGTGTCATTGACAAAGAAGATGATCTCAAGTTCTGGAGCCCTAGCAAGGGAGCTACTCTAATCAAGTCAAGGCTTAGTAACTTAAAAGTTTTTATTGTCCTTGATGATGTGTATCATGAGGACCATCTTCGTTTCTTGGCAGAAAAGCGTAGCTGGTTTGGACACGGGAGCCGAATCATCATAACCACGCAGAACAAGAGCTTGCTAAAAAGGTACACAAAATTGTACGAAGTTAAGTGCTTGGATGATGATAAAGCTCTCCAACTCTTTCAGAGATTTGCTTTTCGAGGAGGAAAGCCTCTTTCTAGACTCCACAAACATCTCTCAATCCAATTCTGTAAGCTTGCTCAAGGCCTTCCTTTGGCCCTCCAGACTTTCGGTAATAATCTTCGTAACAAATCCCTCAGGAAGTGGCAAGATGATTTAAAATCACTTGAGGAAACTCCAGGCGAAAAGATCATGAAGCTCTTGAAGATTAGGTACGATAGATTAGAAGAGCTTGAGAAGACTGCTTTTCTTCACGTTGCATGCCTTTTCAATGGAGACCCTTTCTTGCGAGTCACGAAACTTCTTGAACAAGGTGACGACGTGATACAAAAATTAGCGACAAAGTCTCTCATCGACATATCTTCTGGTGGGCGTATATCTATGCACCGTTTGTTAGAGCAAACAGGAAGACAAATTGTGCGCCAAGACGACCCTGCCGACCAACGAATCTTGTGGCACCATGAAGACATCTATCAAGTGCTTATAGACAAAGCAGTAAGTACATGCACTGTTCTTTATTTGTGTTTCTTTTTTGGTTCCTCATCTAAATATTAACTGTGACATGTTTACTGTAAACCGTGCATTATCTCAAATTTATATTCCTTTCGTTTTATTTTACTTGTCATTTTAGAGTTTTACATGCATATTGACAAAATATATTAAAACTTCTTTTATACCTTTATTAACAAAATATAGGCACGGCCATGTAAACAGTTTACATTTACTATTTCTTGTCAGGGAACACGAAAAATCCAAGGCGTGGCGTATGATGTTTCTAAGATAACCGATGATGATGATCTTCATATTCATATCAAATGGGATGTTTTCAAGCGAATGCATAACCTCAGTTTTCTGATATACAAGCAGTCCAGATATTTAGAGTCCCGCAGGGAAGATTTGATTATAAACAAAAGTTTGCCTGTTCCTCGTAAGCTTAAATTATTGCATTGGGATGCATATCCTTATACAACCTTGCCTACCGGAATCCGTCCAGAGTTTCTTGTTGAACTAACTCTTTGTTACAGCAAGCTCATAACCTTGTGGAGTAAAACTGAAATTCCGGTAATGCTACTTTTCTAGTCTCCTTGCTAGAAAATGTTTTTATATTTTCTTTCCTTTCTAACATTTCTGTTGTGTTTTTGTTTCATGCTTCTCAGAAACTTTTTAAGAAACTGAGGAAACTAGACTTGACGGGATCTAAGGATCTTGAAGAACTTCCAGATCTTGAGGAAGCTGAGTTTCTAGAGGAGTTGATACTAGAAGGTTGCACTTCCTTGAAACAGATTCCAAAATCCATCTGTAACCTACCTAGTCTTCATAAACTTGATGTTTCCAACTGTGATGGGCTTAAGAAGCCAAGCATCAACATAACGAACTCTAACTCTACTGTCATTCGAGGCAGAAGCTTACCCGTCAGATCAGTCCGCCTACAACTTCATGGCACAGAACCATCAGCGGAAGAGTCTCAACACATTTCTCTTACAAATCTTTCAGTCAAAGGCAACCTGGAAATCAAGTTGATATCTCCTGGAGGATACGCAGAGCATCTATCTTATATCTCTCATGAAGAACTCATGACGAAGTTGGACTTCGAGTCACCTCCTTACGGTTGTAAATCACTCGACATCATGCGGTTTCATGGCAGCAAGAACCCTTTCAAGTGTAAGAGCTTTTCAGGGTTTCCATGGTTACTGGAGCTAAACCTAATCAACCTAAACATCCAGAAAATCCCTGATGACATCCACCAGATGCAAGCCCTAGAGAAACTTGACCTCAGTGGGAACATCTTCGAGATGTTACCTACAACAATGAGTCAACTTACAAAGTTGAAAAATTTGACGCTTTGTAACTGCCGCAGTTTAAAAGAATTGCCAGAACTTTCTCAGGTGGAGAGGCTGACGCTTTCTGACTGTACAAAGCTCCGAGCATTGATAAAGATTGGTGGTAAGAGAAGATACAGTTTGCTTGAGCTTTGGCTTGACAACTGCAAGAGTATTGTTTCATTATCAGAAGAGCTTAGTCATCTCACTGAGTTGAGATACTTAGATCTCAGCAGACAAGATTTCAAGACATTGCCGACAAACATCACAAACCTCACATCTTTGGTGAAGCTCTGCCTCAGTTACTGCAACAACCTCGAATCACTGTCAGGGCTTCCACCGAGTCTCAGGAACTTAAATGCACATGGATGCAAGTCTCTGGAAGCTTCTTCCCTTGTAGTCACGCATTCTTTTGATCTTAGCCATTGCCCTTATTGGAGGCAGGACTCTAGTAAAATCACTCGTTTTCCAACTGGAAGACGTGGTAAAGAGGTAACCGAATACTTATATGCTCTCAATCCTCTCTCTCTCTCCCTCTATGCAATATTTTAATCTATAGATGATTTCCTTTTTTTTTTAGGTACCAGTATGTGCTTGTGCTTCCTTCAAGGGAAATACAATTGCAAGTACGGCTAAACAAGTGATCACATGTAGTACTAGTCTCATATCAAACCACTTGCAGCGTTTAAAGTCGTGGTTGCGTGTTTTTGCTCGGTGTGTATCGGTTGCGGGTTTCGTCGTTCTGCTTGTGGCTCTTGCTATTCTTCTTGTGGGTCTCGTCATTTGGCTTGTGAGAGAAATCGATTCTTTTTACTGCCAGAAAAGCATGAGATGTTACGCTAATTAAGCTCAAAGTTATCATTTATTTCCCTTATTTAATCATCTGTTTAGCTTTCTTCTCTCTGACTTTTTTTTACGATGACTGAGAGTCTGAGAGTGTGGCTCAGTGATAAAAAGTTGATCAATGCTTCAATCTTTGGTTGCTGCTGATCATATTCTTCCTATATTTTTTTTTATGTTTGGTTCTTCTGATGATGTTTCGATCTTTGATTGCTTGGGCTGGAAGATTTATTGAGTTGATTTTTCAAACAACACAATGACCTCAAAATTTAACTGAAAGAGTAGACAAGTAAGAGGTAAGCCATTTGCTTATACCTAAGACTTGGGAAGACAAAACTTAGACAAATGGGTTACAAATCTGATCCAGTTTGTTATTTGAGGCTGTGTAACTACTCTTTAGGCAATCTTTCTGGTTGCTTGCAGCAGAAGTTACAAAAGAATGAACCTGGCTCTTACATTGAAAGCCGTTTGTGTGTTATAGTGTTAATAAAGAAATCCAAATTGGGAAACTGAAAATGTGAATGTATATCGCGTTGATTAGGAATTTAATAACTTAAGTTAATTAATAGTTATGGTTAGTGTTACCATCTCCACGCTCCACCGTCGGCTTCACGCGGCTTGCGCACACATTATTCAATTTATTTACCGTTATAATACTCAACCTATGGCATTCAAGTTTTCTTACATATTGCGTAATGTTAAAGGAAGAGATCAAGAGATATATCACATGCATATGCATTGATGTTATTCTAGTTGTTCCAATTATTTTTAACGTCTGTGACAAATGCCTTTTTTCTCTAGTGCGGATGATACGTACGCGACAATTTGTTTTTTTCCTTGTTTAGATGATTTTTTTTATCATGTATTTATATCTAAATCTAAATACATCCAAAATGTATTATCTATTCAGCTAACCCTCTTTTAACATTGCTTGATTATATCAATTTGCTTATTTTCAATCCGAATCAAATGGAAAGGGACTAAGCATCAGTTAATTACTTAATTTTTTAAATGGAAAATGGATCTTCATCTATCGTTGCTTCAAAACAAAGGAAAATATGTTTGGTGTACGATTTCCCCCATGTTTCAACTTAAATCTACATATCTATCACTTATGTTTCTATATTACCTAAATAAATTTTATTTTTCTATTATCGTGTAACAAAGAGCTTGTCTTTTTCGTCAAAAATATAGATAAATTAAATCGCAGTTTTATAGTACCAATTACAACAATATTACGGATAATAGAATTCTTTTTGTTCTCTGCCAAACTGCTTAGCAGATAACAACTGGACGGACACTCTCGTGACTTTTTGCACCGTTTAATAAGACTACGTGAGATATACGCGCTCGTGTGACGCGTGTAAAATCTCTTCCCGCGTTGAGCTGTCTCTCTCTTTGTCGGTCTCCTTCGCTTTTCTTCGCTTCCTCTCTCTCCTTCTCCCACCACTTTCATTAAAATCCTTTTTTCTTCTTCCCACAAATTTATTAAACTAATCAGCAGCCATCTCACAGAACCATAAAGCTTCACTGTAAATCTCCACAATCAATCTCTTACAAAGAAACACTCATCCAATCAATCTTATACCCTTATTGTTTTTTTCTAATCAAATCTCTCTCTCTCTAAATCTCCGATATGACAGACGACAGAGTCTACCCAGCTTCGAAACCTCCGGCCGTCGTCGGTGGAGCCCCAACCACCAATCCAACTTTCCCACCGACTAAAGCTCAGCTCTACAACGCAAACCGTCCGGCTTACCGTCCACCAGCCGGTCGCCGCCGTAGCCACAGCCGTGGTTGTTGCTGCCGTTGCTGCTGCTGGACGATTTTCGCAGTCATCCTTCTAGTTCTCATCGTCGCCGCCGCAGCCGCCGTGGTATACCTCATTTACCGTCCTCAACAGCCGAGCTTCACCATCTCCTCCCTCAAAATCTCGTCTCTCAATATCACCTCCGCGAATCACCTCACCACCGCCATATCACTCTCCGTCATCGCCAAAAACCCGAACAAGAACGTCGGATTCAACTACGACGTCGCCGACATCACTGTCTACAAATCCTCGCCAGGAGATGATGACGTCATCATCGGTAAAGGATCGATCCCGTCGTTTGTCCACGGGAAGAAGAACACCACTCTGCTCAAATCTACCATCGGTGGTCCTCCGGAAGATCTGGATGAGCTGTCGGCAAGTAAGCTCAAGGGAGAATTGAAGGCAAAGAAAGCAGTTGCCATCAAGATTGTTCTAAATACTAAGGTGAAAGTGAAGATGGGATCACTAAAAGCGCCCAAATCAGGAATTAGAGTCACTTGCTCAGGGATGAAAGCGGTGGCTCCAACCGGGAAGACGGCCACGACAGCCACTACATCCTCCGCTAAGTGTAAGGTTGATCTGAGGATCAAGATCTGGAAAATCACTTTTTAAACAATGGGACAAATAAACGGAATTCACATTAGTAGTTTTTCATCTTCCATTTCTTTTTTCTTTTTTTTTTTCTTCTCATTAATCCATTGTTTCAATTCTCATTTCTTCTTAATTTCATGTCACATACATGCAAGATTTACTTTTTTGGTTTATGTAAATGAGATTTATATAATATAATCTATATTTGTGTCCGGTCTGAGCATTATTGTTTGTGATTTGTCCAGGAAAGATGTTTGATTGGCTTATACAAAAGATTAAATCATTTGATTATCATTGTAATTATAGTTTTCGAGTTCTAATTAATAGTGATGATCTAGGTAGAACTGAACAACAGCAACAAAAAGAAGAGAAGGGTAATAATGCAAATAAGTATAGTACTACAAGTGCTTTGGTCAATTAAGTTGTCTACTTTCTTCCCTTTTTGTTGTAGTAACAATTAATTAAAGCTACCATGTGGTCCATGTGTTTATGAGGATATACACATAACACACCCTAATCACCTATGAATTATTGCATTAATATGAGTTTAATTACATACATAATTTGGGGTGCATTATTAATCTCCGGGTCTCTTGGCAGATGACAAAAAAAATCTTCGGGTTTTGTGATTTATTAATTGAGCGTGGGTGCGAAGTTACGTCCCCTTAAGCTCTGACGGTGTCGGAACTGTCGGTGAAATGTTCGAAATTTTAAATTCCCTTTATTTCTCCTACTTAAATGATTCAACTTTAACAAGAGAACGCAAAGCTACGATAATTCAGAATCAGGTGTCATATAACTGTCAAGAACAAAAAGGAGGTTAGGTGTTATGGTGTGTAACGACGACTAACATGTGATGGAATTTGTTCGTTTTCCACAAAATAATTATAAAAACCAAGTAGCAGAAGAATCCTCTCATTTCAAACAAACAGACAAACTTTCGTTATGATTTGGTTAGTTTAATCGGTTAAGAACATGCCATTCCGATTGTACATCAAATTCTTTTTTTTTTACGTATATTAGTCTTCCTAATCATTTGCATTAGTACATGATAATTCTAGGTCTAACGAAACTATAAACCACTAACCACTTTATAATTTTTCATAAAAAAGAAGGAATTTCGGTTAAATCTCCTCACAAAAAAAAAAAAAAAAAAAAAAAAAAAAAAAAAAACAAACAGATTGTTTATGTTTATGTTGTTGAAAACTATAAACTTATAAAGTGGTTTGATTATTAGATGATTCTAATAAGTATAATCAAATATGTTTACTTAAAATTTTATATCTTAAGTTATATATCAATGCAGTCAATAATTGTTAAGGATCAAAATAATAATTGTTAAGGATCAAAATAATACTATCACATACAGAACTGAAAAAAATTCCATGTGACCACCACATGTTATCAGAAGTCCAACTTGACTATTTTTAGTCACTACAATACGCCTCGGTAAAAAGTCCTCATGCTAAATTATCTTCGTTAAACTTCATTTAAATGTAGCGTATTTTTCTTAATTTAATGTGCCCTAATTTAATCGATACTTTTATTTATATATAAACCTAATTTTTTTTGTCTAGAGAGAGTTTCAAATTTCATTTTTTCCCCCTCTATGGTTCCCGCTTCTTTCTGGCGATTTCGTCTCCAAGAAATACCTCGGCGTCTTCGTAATCGCTGTTTCCACACTTCTCCATGTCCATACACTCCGATTTCTTCTCACCGTATCGCTTCAGCTTCCTCATCCTCCTCCCTTACGACTAACAATGACCAGTCCCTCTTCCATTACTTCGATCACATTCTTAGATCATGCTTAACAGCTCAGCAATGTCGACAAGTTCATGCGCAAGCACTTTTATCCGATCTCATCAACCGTTCCGGTTCATTAGCCGCGAGTCTCGTATCGGTTTACTCTCAGTTAGGACTCCTCCTCGACGCCCGTAACGTATTTGACACAGCCTCGCTTGTTTTGCGCTCCGATCTGCGTTTGTGGAACTCGATTCTGAAAGCTAACGTATCTCACGGATTACACGAGAACGCGCTTGAGCTCTACATTGGAATGCGTGAACGAGGTCTCACAGGAGACGGGTTTATTATACCATTGATCCTTCGAGCTTGTAGGTACTCGAGTCGTTTTGGTTTGTGCAGAGGTATCCACAGTCAAGTTATCCAGACTGGTTTGCAAGAGAATCTTCACGTGGTGAACGAATTGCTCTCCTTGTATCCAAAATCGGGAAGGATCGGAGATGCCTACAAACTGTTCGTCGAAATGCCTGTGAGAAACAGAATCTCATGGAATGTCATGATTGCAGGCTTTTCTCAGGACTACGACTGTGAAAACGCCGTGAAGATCTTCGAGTGGATGCAGCGTGAAGAGTTTGTACCAGACGAAGTGACGTGGACTTCGATTTTGTCTTGCCATTCTCAAAGCAAGAAGCTTGAAGATGTTATTAAGTATTTTGATGTGATGAGGAAGAGTGGGGGTGGAGTTAGCGGCGAAGCTCTTGCTGTTTTCTTCTCTGTGTGTGCGGAGTTAGGAGCGTTTGACGCTGCTGAGAAAGTTCATGGTTACGTTGTGAAAGGTGGGTTTGGAGAGTGTTTGCCCTCGAAGAACGCGTTGACGTACGTGTACGGGAAGCAAGGGAAAGTGAAAGAAGCAGAGCAGTTGTTCAGGGAGATAAGGAACAAAGGTATAGAGAGCTGGAATGCTTTGATAATGTCGTTTGTTGATGCTGGTAAACTCGACGAGGCTCTTTCGTTGTTTACTGAGTTGGAGGAGTTTGGCAACGTTGTCAAGGCTAATGTGGTTACTTGGACCTCTGTTATCAAAGGATGTAACGTGCAAGGAAGAGGAGACGACTCGCTTGAATGTTTCCGGCGAATGCAGTTTTCAAAAGTTTTGGCTAATTCAGTGACGATTTGTTGTGTACTGTCGGTTTGTGCGGAGCTTCCAGCTTTGAATCTTGGGAAAGAGATTCACGGGCATGTGATACGAACCTCGATGAGCGATAACATTCTGGTTCAGAATGCGTTGGTGAACATGTACTCGAAAAGCGGGTCGTTGAGTGAAGGGAATCTAGTGTTTGAAGCAATTAGGGATAAGGATTTGATCTCGTGGAACTCGATGATTAAAGGTTATGGTATGCATGGGTTTGGTGAGAGAGCTCTGAGTATGTTCGATCGGATGGTAGAGTCTGGAGTTCGTCCTGATGGGATTGCTTTGGTGGCTGTGCTTTCAGCTTGTAGTCATGCGGGGCTTGTTGAAAAGGGACGAGAGATTTTCAACTCGATGGGGAAAAAGTTCGGGTTAGAGCCTCAACAGGAGCACTATGCATGTATTGTTGACCTCCTTGGTCGTGTTGGGTTTCTGGAAGAAGCTAATGAGATTGTGAAGAGCATGCCTATGGAGCCGAAAGTCTGTGTGTTGGGAGCTTTGTTGAATTCTTGCCGGATGCACAAAAACATGGACATCGCAGAGAAGATAGCGACGCAGCTTTTCAGGCTTGAGCCGGAGATGACAGGAAGCTATATGCTGCTGTCTAACACTTACTCTGCTAGCGGAAGATGGGAAGAATCTGCGAAGGTTAGGGCTTTAGCCAAGAGCAAGGATCTTAAGAAAGTTTCTGGAAGCAGTTGCATTGTTTTGAAGAAGAAAGTCTACAAGTTCACATCTGGATCAACAGTACAGAGTGAGTTTGCGAGTATCTTCCCGGTTCTTGAGGATTTGGTTTGTCATATGCGGAAGAAAGACCCTACAGACGATGGGAACGGTTACGAGGATGATCTTGAGTTATGGACAGCGTAAGATATGAGTATATGTCGCTCACCTTGAGAAGATGCACCAAAAAGAAAAACCAAACTTAGAGAACCTATATCAGGTCAAGATTGTTACAGACCATTCATATTAGCATTGGCCAGTTACCAAATCAATATTTAAAAGGGAAGGGTGTTAGTCATCTTAAACGCAAACTAGCTCTTCTGAAGCTTTTTTTTTAGATATGAAGGTTTTAACGAAGTGCCACTATAGAGAAACCAATGCCTTAAGCCACTCAGCCATGTGGAACGTCATTATCTCAATATCGGAGGTGAGCATGCAATCACTTTAGAGTGTGGCTAAAATGCTGATTAGGACATATGGTGTTGCAGTGTATTCCATTCCATTAGTTACCTTTTTGGGATATGTTTTAAAAAGCTCTCTTCAATTTATGCTCTGTTCCTCCTGTTATTGTTCATATTGTTTTTTTTTTTTTTTTTTTGTACTTTGTAAATAATTCCTTTTGTCAATATTATTTTGTAAATAATGCGGGACTGAAAATTGGTTATGACTTACAAAAAGTTGGAAGAATATAAATATCGTAGTGAAGGTCAATCCTTACACACCATAAGACTATCCAATCTAAATGTACTGTTCATTTGTTTATGTAAACTTTTTCTGTCTTTTTGAATATCATAAGCGTATTTTCTATTTTCTCAAATGCAAATATTGGACAAACATGAATTTAAATTGTGTATGATGACTAAAAAGAAAGAGAATATTCGAAGACAGTTGAATATCATCGCAAATTGAGTGTTCTTTCCAGCGCTCGCAAGACATTTTTCAGGTACATTCACAAACGTTCGTTCTCCAAGATGTGAAATCTTAATTCGTTGGACATAGCTTTGAAGATCAAAGAATCTTTTATGTTTCTTGATTTTATATGTTACTAGCCGCTTTAAAATATATGGTCTTATAATAAATGAGGAAATCCTCGTCTGCTTTTGTTCTTTTCTTTTATAACCAAGTGATGGTTTTATATGTTTTGAAATGTCAGATTGAATATAAAGTTTGTTCCTTTTGATCTTAATCTCATCGTCTTCTTTTAAAGCTAAGTAATAGCTATAAAATTATCAATCCTATGCAAAATACTAAATCACGCACTTCTTCCTTGTCTTATTTCTTTCCTTCCATAATTCCCAAATTTTTAACATTCCTAAGAAATTCTTCATCCGTTTTTTTTTTTATAAATTTTCTAGAATTTCACACATATTAAGAAAAAGCATATTTTTAATTATTAGTGTATAAATTTTTATAATAATTTTTTTTTTATAATTTTCAGCCAATAAAAATATAACAAATATAATCATTGTTTCTTAAAAACTGAAAAATGCATAAAAAATAAAAAATTTATCTTTATAAAACCAGAAATAATGTCTAGAAAATTCATCTAAATAAACAGAAGGAGTATTATTTTTCCTTTACGCATATAAATAATTAATTCCGGTCCACTATCGCACGTGTTAGTCACCAATCATCCCCCTTCATCGTTCTCCGGTGACTATGATTGCGGCTCCGATCATCTGTCTTTAGTTTCTCAATCTGGCTTTGAAGATCACACACAATACTATGACACCCAGCAACCGGTTCTTGGTTACACAATCAGCCTCGAAGCTAATGGTGTGGTGTGCGTAACGATATTTCGCTGAGAGTGAACAATAATTGTTTAAATTAATCATTATCATAAATTCATACAAACAACTTTCTGAAAGAACTTCGATACCATTAATAACTGTTTTGTCCTAAATAACAACTTTGTCACAAAACAAACTTCCCTTCAAACAGACCTTCTCACAACACTTGAATGTGAAGAATTAGTCAAGTATATCAACCTATTTTTTAACGTCACTTTCCTTAAAACTAAGAAAAAAGATCAACAACCATATTTTTACAACAGAAGAGTCGCTGCAATAGCCAGGACATTCTTACTTCTGATAAGGATGGTATCGACCTGGTCCTGAACCATTAGTCCCATTCCCTCTGCCACCGCTTGAGCCGCTGTTGCCGTTTCCATGAGCTTTTCCACCTCCATAAGCAGCAGCAGCAGCGGCAACACCATAGCCACCACCACCCATATGGCTATAACCGCCACCTCCATAGCCAAGGTTAAACATTTGACCTCCATACCCATAACCATAGCCATACCCACCACCGTAACCATAAAATCCAGTGTTAACCATCGGGTTCCCTGCGTAGGCTCCATAACCGCCATAACCACCATAACCCGAATACATATTGTAGTTATCATTTGCTTTCACATTCCCACCATAACAATCTTCCTGATCATACTTGCCACGAAAGCTGTTATCTCTCCCGGTTCTCTTTGGTTCAGCTCTCTTTATTTCGACCTGTTGATCCATTGTAAATGCTTGAGATCATTACTTACTTCTTTATACCATTGTAAGTGCTTGAGATCATTAAAAATTAGAAAGAGGCTTGCCTGTTTGTCACCGAGCTCATGAACTTTCCCATCGGAGAAAAGTCTGTCCACAGAGTCTTCAGTCTCAAAAGTTACAAAACCAAACCCTCTTGACCTTCCACTGTGGTGGTCGTACATGATCTGATGCTCAGCTATGTCACCATATACACAGAAATACTTCTTCAGTTCATCTACAAATATGAAAAAAGCCACATTAACAGCAACACTAACAACAACTGCAGACAGAAACAGAGAACAAGCTTAGAGAAACTTTTTACCTTGTTCCAAAAATGGTGGAAGTCCACCAACAAAGATCTTCCTCGTCTTTGAGACCGCTTTGATATCATTATCCCTGTCCCCTCTAGGAACTGTCCTTTTTAGGTCAACCTAACATTTAGATAGGAATCAACCAAAGCATCTAACAGGAGAAAGAAAAGCTGAGCCATAAAACTAATGTCTTGATATCTAATCTACCTTTCGGTCATCAATTACATGATCTTCCTCCAAAACTTTCTCTGCAACAGCTGAATCAGCAAAAGTTACAAACCCAAACCCCCTTGGCTTTCCAGTCATTCTATCTGTCATGATTACAGAGTCGACAACTTCTCCAAACTTCCCAAAGTAATCCGCAAATTTCTCTGAAACAAAGCAACCAGACGCAAGATCAAGACAAACCAATCCATGTCAGCTCAATACAAGAGCATGAAAAGCTAAGACAATGAAAAAGACTCAACAAGCAAAAACAAAAACGACCAGAAACATCTTCTTACCTTCTGTTGTTTCCCAAGAAACTCCACCAACGAACAGTTTCCTAAAACAAGAAACCACTCCGCTTCAGTATCTTAGCTTCACACGCTTAATAACCAGCTCGATTGAGAAATGAGAATGAGATCAACATGAAAACTAAACCAAACCCACTAACCCAGGAGAAGACATGGACGAAGAAGAATGGCGATGCTCAACGGATTGCTTCATCTGCATCCCACCGCTCCTCCGGTCATCAACAGTCTCCACTTCGTAATCCTGCGGTGGTAGCTGTTCGTCTTGTATGTCACGACGGTACGAGTCATCATAGCCACGATCTGAGCTGTAATCCATCATTGATCACTGCAGCTGAATCAAAAAAATCAAAACTTTAATTTCTCCTTCTCCCGATGAAACTCAACTGAAGCGAGTGAAACCCAAACACAAACAAAATTCTTTGATTCGACGTTATGACATCGAGAATTCAAAATTCTGAGCTTGAGAGAGAGAACCCTAACCAAAGACGGCTGTAGTGGCAAACGGCAACAAGCTCAGGCGAGAATTTTAACACACTATAGCCCCCACTGAAGAAATTTTGAACAAAATGAATTTGATTCGGTGTTATCAACTTATCATCGGAATATCCGAAAACGTCACCGTATTACTGTAGTCAACGTTGGTCTAACAGTTTTCTTGTCACTTTGTCAACATCAGAAGATCAAAGGTTGACACTTTTAACTTCTTCTTATCTGAATTAACAATCTTTCACACAACAACAAAGAAACTCTGTTTTACACAGAACTGGAAAATAGTTACAAATCTTTTAGCTAAGCTTCTTTGGATTTTGCAGCTTTCAATGCTTCAATAACCGCAGAGAAATCCTCATCGCTCAGTCCATAAGATTTCGCAACCTTGTAAAGCTCGTTCGCAGCTGCTGCAATCGGCGTAGACTGAGAAACACTTTCCGCTAGTCCAAGTGCGAGTCTCATATCCTATACGCACACATAAATCTCATCAAACTCTAATCTTTGTGAGACTCTAAACAAGGAGATATCAAAGTTTCACAAACCTTCTGCTGGTGCTTCAATGGGAAAGCCGTAGGGTACACTGACTTGATCATCGAAGGACCTTTTAGAGAGTACATTGGCGCATTGATAGCTCCCTGTGAGACAACCTGCAGAGGTTTTTCTTCAGGTCAAGACCGGATTTGAGAAGGAATATTTCTGCTTAATCAAAGGTGTTTTGAAAATTACCTCGACTAGTACGTTTGGATCGAGTCCTACTTTCTGGCTTAGAAGTATTCCTTCAGCAAATGATGCCATCATACTGCAAGATTGTATGACAAGAGAGAGATTAGAGAGAAGAGTCTGATATTTGCCTAAGAAATGAAGCCACTGATGGTCAAATGATTACCTTCCCATGATCATGTTGACGACAAGCTTCATTGCTGCTCCATTACCAACTTCACCCAAATAGAATCTTGACTGGATCATATAACGCAAAACTAGTAATGAAATGGTTTCTTTACTGAACTTACAAGGAGAACTACAAGCAACAAAAGGAGATACCTTTCCCATGATGTCTAAGAAAGGAGCAGCTTTTTCGTATAGCAGCTTGTCACCTGAAAATGTTAAGCGCCAGATAAAGTCTTAAATCTCCTTTTTCATTAAACCATGATACAAGACTATTACTGTGAATACAAGCTCAGTGAGGAACAAGCTATTACTAACCTGCAGTGAGGAATATCAACTGACCATCTTCGGCAGGCTTTTTGGAACCTGAAACCGGTGCCTGTGGATATCAATAGAGATGGCTGAAGTCAAATAATCTGCTAAAAAGTTTCTTAAGTGATTCAAAACATAGATTTTTAAAAGTCTCTTTACCTCCAAAAACAATGCTCCGGCATTCTTTATTTGCTTGCCGATTAAGATCGATGAAGCAGCATCAACGGTTGACACATCAACATACCTGCATTAAAAAGGAAAGCCTCATTTTTACCATATTGATTCAAAGAAAAAAGGAAAAAGAAGAAAAAAATTCAGATATCTTGAAACAGTTTTAACACAGAAAAGACGAGGCAAAGCTTAAATCCAACAAAGATCTCATGAAGGAGTGTGTGTACCCTTTTCCTGAGCTAATTCCAGATACGGCTCCATTCTTTCCACATGCAACATCAATCTGAAAGAGAGCAAAACAAACACACAGTTTCTGTCTTAACATGGAGTGGAAGAAAAGTTAGCAAACAAGAAAGTAAGCAACAAGTGAAACATACGCACTGCACTTTCAGGATCAGCAAGCATCGCAAATGTGAGATCACAAGTTGCAGTCACTTCTTCAGGAGATGACTTGTACCTGCAAACAAAGATGAAATGTTTTTTATCAGAGAGGTTTTGTAATTGCATTGTTCTAAAATCACATCAGTCTTTATAAAAGAAAAATCACTCTTACTTTGCTCCTAATCCGATGAGGGGGTCACACTTGCTCTTAGTTCGATTCCATACAGTCACATCACACCTAATACCCAAGCCCCGGAAGAGCAAAGTATAATCAATAAAAGAAGGTAAAGTAGCAAAATTGATGTGACTTATATAGTTGACACATAAAAGTCCAAAACTTGTACCCAGCTTTGATGAGGTTTTGTGCCATTGGAGAACCCATGATTCCCAAACCCAGAAATCCAATGCTAAGTGTTCCAAGTTCATCTGCCATACAAACCCCAACCATTCCTCAAATACCACTAACCGAAAACAAACAATGAAGAGACTAGTATTCTGTATTCGAACATCTTTCTCCAAAGTTGTGTGATTTCTCCCAATTTAAACACAATTCATGGTTCTGGACAGCAAGGCATGTGGGAATTGAGCACCAATTGTAGGCAAAAACCAAAACAAGAAATTACCTTTTGTAGAGGGAGTAGGTTGCTGGGAAGAGTAAGCTCTAAAAGAGAGAGAAAACAGAGGTTTTGAGGGAAAAGGGGAAATGGGCTTTGGTCTGAATCGAATAGGAATACGAGGGCAGAAGGTGGAGCACAAAGCCATGGCTCTTGAAGAAGAAGACGCAAAAGATAATGGAACCAAAGGCATGGCCACTGGCACTGCGTTTGTAAATTAAAAGACTGGACCTGGCTCCCATAGGGTGTGGCCAAAAATCTCACATTTCGAGGCGAAAAATGGAATTTTTGTCATCTTCTTTTTTAATCGACTGAAGATTTACCAAGGTACAAAAGTAAGACTAAGTACGATTAATTCATTGCCTTGCCGACTCTGAAATTGCGATATAGGATTGAAAAGATCCTGTATTTCGCAATTGAATTTGATGTGTGTGCGTTTCGAAGGCACAAAGCTCAAATCCATTAGCAACTTGTTTGGATACGTCAATCCAACTTCCAAACACTAATGGTCATTTTTACATGTATGTTAATTGCTTTGGTAGCATCACTATACAATCTCAGATCATGTCGTCAGTGCATTGTATTAGCATATCATTTTGGCCTCCTTCGAATGAATCGGAAAGCTTATAGAGAGTTGGTTCAACCCGGACAAACTCGGTTAATTTCATTCAAAACCGAACCGAAAAAATCGATTTGAAAACCGGGTATTGTGTCTGTGTCATAGGTAAAAGAACAGCAGCCTGCCCTATGTGATATAGACTATGAAGGAAGCTAGTTTTGTTTTTGTTTTACTCTATCTATACACAGCACCGGGAAAAGAAAAGAGAATAAAGAATGATTTAGTTCTCTGGTTGAGCTCACGCAATCACCAAATCAGGTTCTGCAAGTTCGCAATCTTCCATTTTTATGCCTGAAAACCAACACAAAGAAGTAAAAGAGCAAGATGTTTTCAGTGAAATGACATGAGCTTGTTGGCCTTAACCTGAAAGGATCGAAGTAGCAAGTAACTTTTATATACTAATAAGTGTGAGGGTGAGAGGGATGCTGACCAAAAGGAGTCTTTCTTCTCCTGTTCCAATAGCTCTTCGAATGAGATGTCTGAACACTCGTCATCTGGACTCTCTAACTCTGTCCTCGATTTGTTTTTGAGTTCCATGGAAGCGCTTATCTCAAGAACCTACAGTATCGGAAACAGTATTTATGGCAGCTAATAAAAAAAAGAAACCAGAATACCAAGGAAAGTCTGGATTATTACGCTAACACAGATAGGACTCTACTGGTTTATCAGACGACAACAATAATCAGCAAGATTTAATCCAGAATCAGAAACACCAATCGAACATATTTTGAGGTTTTGGACGCATATGATACAATCTACAGAAACAAGTGATTGAGTTTGGTTTTTACCTTTTTGTATGCAGGTGAAAGTTTTAGTTGTTGTTGGAGCCAGTTATATACAAGTGCATCTTCCTCTACCTTTTTTTGTTCCATCTCTAACTTGTAGATCTGATAACACACAAACATTACATTTTCTGCCTCAAAAAAATTGAGACAAAAACTGATTAAGCTAACATTCACCTGTTGACGAACTCGGTCAAAGGAAGATTTATCGGCCTTTAAGAGAAGAGCTTTTGCTATTGAATACTTGCGCTTGATCACCTCTGACCTACAATATAAATCGAGCAGGCCTAAATTAGCGTCACTGGAGAAGAAAATGGTGAAAACTCAGACAACTAGCAACATCTCGCCATTAAAGGTAAACATAAGGTAAAAAGCAGCTACATTTGTTATGCATACGGAAATCCAGGTATTAAAAGTTAATGAAAATCTATAATCTCTCAACAACATCTTCTTAAGAATTACTATTGCACCAGGGAAAGTTGAACGCACAAATAAGATATTTCAATCAACAAGAAACAAGACAGTGTCCTCAAAATGCAGGAAGGACAAAGGACAAGGATCAGAGACTGACGCAATATGATATTCTACTATGGTGGTGTTAGCTTACTTGTGCTGTAGTTCATTTTTGGTTTCTATCAGACAATTAGCAAACTCTCCAACCTGCACAAGTGAAGGAACCATAAGAAATATCATCCAAAGACGTAATTCAGACTTATATATACGCAAGAAATCCCCAGAAGTTCTTTTGTTTATCAACTGATCTAGTCAAAGATATTGAGCCAACACCACAAAGTTAAAAGCCAAAGAGGCTTTATATGCTGAAAAAGCCTATTGCTTTAGCAAATTCAGAGGCTTAGTAGACATTATTAGTACATTTGGCTTTAATTCAGGATTCCAATTTTCAGTTGCAATGTAGTTATGACCTTAAGAAGCTGACCTCACCTGAGCTAGGGTCAATCCTTTGGCACTGTTGCATTTGACAAGGTGGTCGTATTGCTGCTTAATCTTCCTCTGCGTAGCACTGGTCGTCGAGGTGAAAGGATACAAGCAAACAAACTCCGGTTTG